CCCATCGGGGAGAGCAGTGTCTGCTGGAAAGTGCTGTGGTCTGAGAGGCAGAAGACCCCTTCATCCATATGAGTCTCACTTTGTTCTTCTCTTAAATGGGGATAATACAACTTGCCCTGTCTCATAGGTTCAATTCAACAAACATTTATGAAACACCTACTGTGTGCAAGTCAAGAAGCCGAGTTAATAGTTATAGCAGCTAGCATTTACAGAGTGCTTTAAAATTTACAAAACCCTTTATAAATATCATCTCATTTGAACCTCACAACAACCCTGGAAAGGAGGAACTGTTAAGAATTATAATAATAATGACCAACATTTATAGAGCACCTACTGTGTGGCAGGTGCTGTGCCAAGCACTTTACAAATCTTATTTTATTTGAACCCCATAACAACACTGGCAGAGAGGTACTATTAATAATAACAATAATAATACCTAACATTTATAGAGCCAGACACCGTGCTAAACGCTTTACAAATACTATCATTGATCCTCATAACATCCTTGGGAGGTAGATGCCATTATTGTGTACATTTTATTGATGAGGAAACTGAGGCAAACAGGGTTAAGTGACTTGGCCAGGGCCTTCTTGTGTAAGGCTGGATTTGAACTCAGGTTTTCCTGATTCCCACTCCAGCGTTCCAGCTACTGCTCTGCTTAGTTGTCAAGTCCTAATATACTGACTTTATGACCTTGGTCAAGTCACTTGATTTCTCATTGCTCTAGGTAAATCTCTCAGACTATGTAAGTAGAAATTGATGGCTGTTGATGGAGGGATTTTCCTTACTGGGAGTTCCCTATCCAAATAAAAGCACAGGCCTGGCTAAAAACAAACGAATAAATAAATGAATGAATGAATAAATGAAGTGCTGGGCACCATTCTAGGGCTGAGGATACAAAAACAACACTGAAACAGACCCTGCCCTCAGGGAGCTTCCATTCTACTGGGTCATCCTAAGGAAGGTGATGATGTATGATTGTAATTTGATTATTTATGATAATAATTAGGATCCTTCCTAACAATGCTGCCCAGGCATTTCCAGGTGACGGCAGCAGCTCCTCTATTGGATGCTAGGGTCTCGGTGGGGTATTATTTCTTTCCCATCTGTAGAACTGAAATGGTGGCTTAAGGGTGTTGAGGTCCATGGTTCAAAGGTAGTGTGCCCAAAATGCTAACCAGTCCAGTGGGGAGAGTGGCAGGCCTGGAGTCAGGAAGACCAAGTTCAAATCCAGCCCTAGACACTGACTGGCTGTGTGACCCTGGACAAGTCACTTTACTTCTGTTTGCTCAATTGTAAGATGGGGATGATAATAATAGCACCTTCCTCCTAGGGGTGTTGTGAGGCTGAAATGGGATGATATTTATAAAGCGCTTTGCAGACCTTAGAGTGCTATAGAAATGCTACTTGCTGCTGCTATTATTATTATTATTGTCACACTTGGCTGATGAGGCCAAGGGGCATTGGGCACCCTGACTTTATTACTGGGGCTTTGGGGTGAATGTGGGTACTCATGCGCAAACACACATGCATTCACTCAGTTACATACCACGCATACACGTGCGTACAGATAGTCACAGAGGCACTCCTCACTGGAGCTCGCACCACAGTCAGAAGCAGCCAGACTGAACCATACTCAGACACACAGAACATACCACATAGGTGTACCCCATCTCTAAGATATATACATATTGACCTACACAAATATACCCAGTTACACACATGAGCAGACACATGAACATGGGTACCCACAGACCCACACATACAAAATACATGCGTAGATTGCACATATGTGTAGTCACTGTCCACACCTGTCATCTACACTTGGACCATGAGCTCTTTCTCTGTTCCCTGGAACTCCCAATGGGGAAACAAATCTCTGAAGCTCATGGGCTCATAGACTCAGCTTGTATTACAGCTGGAAGGCTCGTTTCGCAGCCTCAGACCCAAGCAGGGACATTTGGGCAGAGACACGGCCTGGTTAGACCCCCAAGGCTTAGGGAAGGCAAATGCATTTCCCTCCTTAGAAAGGACCCCCCCACCCCCGATCATTACTGTCTCTGTTGGTAAGGTCAGCAGGCAGTAGGGGCAGATAGTAGCACTACTGGGCTGTGAGAAGGTCTACCACATAGATAGATAAAGCATTATTAAGCGCTTACTGTGTGCCAGACGCTGCTGGTGTGTGAGAATCTGGTCTCAGCAGAATGAACAGGTGCTGGAGCCAAAGGGTGGGGCCTGGAATGGAATAGGGGTCTGTCTTAGATATGCTGAATGAGCCATAGATTAACTTGCCTGCTTCTCCGTCTTTCTGTCTGTCCATCCATTTGTCTGTCTGTCTAAGCATGCATTCATGTAACCCACCCACGGATGACGACCTCATCTGTGACCGTGCTAACCCTCTTCTCCATTTCTTTACCCTTCAGAGGAGCCGCCCGGTGTGGCCAACCCTTACCGTGCCTCTGACCGTACGTTGCTTGCCTCCTGATGGGGAGAAGGAGGGATTCTTGGGCTGGGGTTCCTTGGGGATTCAGGGGCAGGTGGCATACTGGGTAGCATTCTTTTCAGTCTGGGGTGGGCTGGGTGGGAGAGAGGGACCACAGACATTCATTAAGTGCTGACTCTGACTCTTGGGGGTCTAACCAAGGATACAAGTACACTAGATAGAAATCCCTCCTCCTAGGGACCTTACATTCTAATGGGGAGAGAAGTCCATTCGTAAGTACTGAACACTTCTCTCCCTCTCCCCTCCCATTTTCACTGAGCTTCCTTTTTTTTCTAGTTAGGGGGCTGTGGCAGAACAGTTCACTGGTTCAGCCTGTGCACCGTGCAACACAGTGGAGACAGACAAAAGCAATAAAGAAGCAAGACCAACCCATTCTGGTCCTCAAGGAGTTTACAGTTTATCTTCTTGGGCCAGAGTAGGAAAGGAAGAGAGAATTGTTTCTCTGGAGCCCAGTGGAAAATCCCCAAATCATTTGCAATCTGTTATAGTGATTCCATTCTCCCTCTCCCTTGGTGAATTTGGTTTCCTGAGGTTTTGTCCAGATGAATATTAAATGAGTTTCCCATCCCTGACCCTACACTCACCAATTGTCATGGGTCGCTGACAGAAATGGGGCAGCCGATGGGCAAGGAGAAGGCAGGAGAAGATGGGGGTGGCTGATACACATGGGAATGGAGATCTGGCCATATTTATACAGGTTTACATTAACTCCCGTAAGTCAGGCCCTCTCTGGCTGCCTCCACAATGTTCTGACCAGTCATCATGTACCGAGTTCCTTCCTGAGGCCATGGGCCTCCCTCTCCTAATGCTCCACCTCTCCTGTTAGCTCCATCTTTCACTTAGCAGTTAGCTGTGACCAACAGTGCTGAATTATCTTCTTGGGATGGCCATTTCCAGGGCCCCAATCATCATTCCCTTCTGGAAGACCAGGAGTGACCTATCCCAGGCCCTATCTCAGGTTGTGCCATAGGAAGCCAACAGAATCCAATGTTTCTTGGTCAGAGAAAAAGTCTCACTCAGACATAGGGTACCATCTTGTTTCAGGTCCTCTCCCTTTAGATGGAGGGCAAAGTACTCACCCTTAAATAGAGCCTTGGTCTGAGAGAGTAGACGATTGTCTCTGTATTTAGGGAGCTCTTGATTTGTTAGCGGCAGCTGTGGTTCCTGCCCTTAGGGTGAAATTAATCTCCACTCAGCAATATGTCCTTAGCCATGTCCATGTCAACCTAGGCAAGGTGACCTTTGCCTTCCTATTCTTCCTATTGAAAGAATATCATGGATCTTGGTGGCTGGAGTTGGGATTTCCATCACTCTAGCTTCTGCTACCATCTTCCTCCTCCTCCTCAACAACAACAACTAATAGTAATAATAGCAATAAAAACAGTTGTTGTTTACCACCTAAGGTCCCACTTTTAACTTTTACCAGAAATCTTTCTGGCCTATGGTTAGGTTTCCTTTAGACCTTACTTGAGAAGTCATCGGTTTAATCTTATCTACACTAGGATGTCCTAATTACTACCCTTTTTTACCTTGGGGATAGATGATATGGATTATGGGATATGAATAGTGTTGTCCCTGATGACTGCACTCTCAACAAAGGGACAGGCCAGTCTATCTGAGCTTCTAGAATGTTGCAGCTGAAGCCCCAGACTGGGAAATGAATGAATGAATTAAAAAATAACATGAATGTTGGTTGGAAAATATTGACATTAGTGCCAATGAGATAGTATGGAAGAATATCTTTTCCTAACCTTTACTTTATCTTTAAACCTTGCTCCAACTTTACTCCTAAACGGAACACCTACTGGACAGTATCCAGTGAACATAGATGATGTTGAGATTAGGCAGCTTCGTTTTTGTTCCTCGCCTTTCTCTCAAAGGGCAAGAGGCCATGACTCTGAGGGTTAGGAAGTGCCTTCCTTTCTCCTGTGGTCCTTTTCCCTAGGAAGAGGGAGCAGTCTTTACTTAGGCCCCTGTTCATTTAGCCCCATAGCTTGGCCTCCTGGGGATGGGCCTGGCCTAAAATCTAAAATTAGCACAATTAGCTTTGGCAGTTGCTCCAGCCGGCACCTAGGCCTTGCATGGTTACTCTCCAGGATGGAGAGGTTTGCGTGGGATGTATGTGGCAGGGACAGCTTTGGTGAAGTGAAACATGAGGGGTCTTGGTCCCATGACAAAGGTAGGGTTCAATGAACACCATTTGAAATTTAGCCTTGGGAAGAGGATAGGGCCTGGGGATAGGAGAAAATAATAAAAGCTGGTAATTGAAACTCAAGGATAAAGATGGGGGCTCAAGGCCAAGGATGGGGACTTGAGAACCAGAGGTTGACTAAGAGTCAGGGATGGGGAGTAAGGGCTGGGGATGGGAGTGCCTGTAGATTAGTGTTACTGGCTGCAAGGTTCCAAAACTGGACAGTGATGGGAGCCTGGCAAAATTCAGATTGTGAGCCACTCTCCCTGCTACACCTGGAACTGATTCTCTTTTGTGGCATCCTAGTTGACGATGGCCTGGGTTTCCTTCCCACTTTTGGACCCTGCTACGTGAACCTTTACGGCAGTCCCAGGGAATACACTGGCTTTCCTGACCCCTATGAGGAACTCAACCTAGGCAAGGTGAGGCTGAGGCTGCTGCCAGCCGGGAGGTATGGGATCGAGTATGGAGAAGTGGTGGAGTGGTGGTCTGTCTGGGGGCTCCTGACAGTGTTATTCGGTGAATTAACTCACTAGGATATATCCACTGGCTCCTGGCTATGATGCATTTCTGTAATAATAAATATTGATTAAAAAACTACTATGTTCCAGGCACTGTGCCAAGCACCGAAGATATGAAAGAGGCCAAAGATGACTTCTTCCTGGGGCCATGGCCACAGGGACAGCTACCATTCCCCTACTCTCAGCCGTTCCCTGTTTCATGCCTCACCAGTTGAGCCATCACCGGCAATGTCCTCTCATGTTGGCCATTTTAAATATCCCACATCTTGTTCCCTCCTGGAATAGGGAGTGACCAGACACAAGCTTAATCAAAGAATCAATCAATAAACACCTACTATTGGCTATGTAGAGACTTACTCCTTGACCCCTCCAGGCTGAATCTGTCTGACTCCAGGATCCAGTCCTTTTCTGACCTAAGTCTGGCTTTCCTGGACTCCCTGAGGAATCTGACTTACCTTCCTGACTTAAGCCGTAGGTGTCCCTGCCCACCTCCCTCTCCTCCCCAGGCCCTGAAGACACAGATCCCATCTGTCTAAGTGTCCAGTTTCCTGCCCAGACCCCAGTTCCTCGGAGTGTCTGAGCTGAGTGTCCAACTCGTCATGTTTATACTGGCTGGTTCCTTTCTTCCCTCCCCTTTTATTTCCCCACACATGCTGCTTTCCTTGATGCCCTGATTGCTTCTTGCATTTTATCTTTGGGTTAGCTGAATTTTAGCTCCTTAGCCTAAAAACTTCCAGCCTACCCCTATCAATACATAATGCCTGTCAAAATATAGAAACATGGATGGATTATCTATAGAACAGCCAAGAAGGACACAGATAGCAGGTGGTTTCCTTCTTTGCCCCCAAATAACTGTGCTTGAAGACTGAACTCAGCTAATGCCTAAATCAAACTAAGAACAATGAGCGGGATTACTCGGCTGAGTGTTTAATTGAAGGCTTCTGTCTTTATCAAAATGGTGAACATATGAGAGGATATCTGTCATGGGTCTGGGTCTCCTAGTCTTTAAAGGAGTAACATGTAAGGCTTGGGAAATGCAAGTCTATTTCTCAAATCTTTGGCTCATGGCTGGGACCTAGGTAGGAGCCCCTGTTTCCTTGAGTAACCTTCAGAAACAGGGAGATCATGGGGTCACAAATAGAGAAAGACCTCCAAGACCTCCATCGAGCCTGACCCCCTCATTTTGCAGAGGAGGAAACTGAGGCAGGCCTAGAGAGGTTTCATAACTTATGCAAGATTATTCACGTGCAGAAGGCAAGGATTTTCTAATTTTTCTTAGGTCACTCTGGACATTAACCAGACTCGATTGTTAGCTGGAACACAGACACAGCTACCATGGGGAGAGGATTATGGGTGGGAATTGGGCTTAGGACTTCACTCTCCCTCTGTGTCCTATTCCTCCACACCTAATGGGCTCTCGTGGCCCTCATGGCCCTCATTCCTCTCCGTATAAAATGTGCTCTATTGAACAATTAAGAGCATGTCCTCACATCCATAGTGTGAAAGCCCTCCCCAAGCTTAGCGCCTCCCCCACCCCCTGCGGCCAGACTCTTCTCTCCCCTTTCCAAATAGTGCGAACAAATTACCTGGTTTGTTCCTCCTCAGGGGGAAGGTGTGGCCTATCGTGGCCGGGTGCTGGTGTCCCTGGAGACAAAGCTGGTGGAACACACAGAACAGCGGGTGGACGACATTCATGCAGATGACATCTTCCGGGTGGAGGTATCGGTCACGGGATTAGAAAAGGGATTCCACGCAGGCTCCGTCCTGGATGAGGGAGGCGGGAGGAGCCTTGGCCGGGGCCACTGGTAACGTCAGAGTCTGAAGCGCTGGGTTCAAGTCCTGGCTTGGGTACTTACTCCCTGTGTGACTTTGGGCGAGTGTCTTCGTCTTTCTAGGCCTGTTGCCCTCATCCATCCGACGAGGAGGTGTGACCTGGTGGGGGACCCTTCCAGCTCTAGGGCTCTGATTCTATCATCCCCAATTGGGCTTAAAATACCTTCCCTGACCCTCTTGGGGCTGTTTGTGATGATCAAGTAAGATAATTAAAGCAGCCTGAAAAATGGAAAGTGACAAAAAATGAGGTTTGATTGTTATATTTACATAATAGTGATATTATAATTTTGGGGGGGAACTCCCTATTTCATTGGCATAGGAACTCCCAATATGGAAATTTCTTCCACTGATATGTCACCACCTGCCTGGAATTTAAGTTCAGATAGTTGCTTTGGGCACTCAGAAGTTAAGTGACTGGTCCAAGGTCACACAGTGTGTGTCAGACGTGGGTCTTTTACCCAGGTCTTCATGATTCTAATGCTAACTTTCTATCCACTTTGCTTTGAGGCCTTTCTTCTTCTTCTTCTTCTCCTTCTCCTTCTTCTCCTTCTCCTTCTTCCTTCCTCCTTCTTCCTTCCTTCTTCTTCCTTCTTCCTTCTTCCTTCTTCCTTCTTCCATCATCATCATCTTAGACCTGTGATTGAATTTCTACAGGGAACTCTCAATATGGGAATTCCCTCTCCCAATGGAGAGCTGTCAGGGGAGCCCTGAGAAGCAAAGGATCTCATGCAGGATCTCACAGCTAGTACGTGTCAGAGGCAGGGCTTGAACCCAGCCCTTAGCTTCAAGTCTAGTGTATACCACACTGCAGTTATTGTAATATTATAATAGCCAATATGTATTTGCTGAGCAGCTTCTGTGTGCCTAGGACCCTGTGTTCCAACCTCTCCACTGATGCTACTTATATGAGCATGGGCAGATTTTTCCATGGTCCTACTGTGCGTGGCAGTGCCCATGGGGTCCTTTAAGGTTTATGCCCAAAGAACACAAACTCTGACAGGTCTCACCATGGTGGAAAGGCTTTGAGTATGGGCCCAACAATGGACTGTACGTCTGATGACCCAGGACCAGCCTGTATCGCCATGCTGGCTGCGGGGGATTTATTTTTCATCCATGAAAACTCATGACAGCATCTAACAATGAGGTTTCAATCTTCATTTCTGGGGTACTGAATCCTTGAAGTATTGATGCATGGGTGAGATACAAAGGTGAATCCAATAAATCCCCCGCCCTCAAGAGGCTTACAGTCTAGCTAGAGAGAGTCAATTCAATTTAACAAGCGTTTATTGAGTACCTGCTAAATGTTAGGTGCTGTGCTAGGCACTGGGGATTCAAAGACAAAGAAGAAGCCACTCCTGCCTTCAAGGGGCTTCCGTTCTCCACCGATGCATCAATACTTTGAGGATTGATGATTTTATATGAGTGGGATCTCCCTCCTCTGGTTCACTGCAGATGAGCGGGATCACGGTCTCAGGAGCTGATGCGGCCAAAAGAATCAGCCTGGTGACCAGCTGGTGATGCCTTCTTTAGAATTTAGCTAGTCCTCAGGCAACCAATGCAGGATGTACAATGCGGTCAGGAAAACCCGGGTTCGAATCCTGACACCTGTCTGACTCTGGACACATCCCCTGGCCTCTCAGGGCCCCCAGGCACCTCTCTCGAGACCCCAAATGTCAGAAAAGAGGATGGCCTAGATTGGAGAAGCATGTTCTCCAGACCCGTGAATCACAGGCCCTGTCCCCACTGTTCCATAGTCATTGAAATGCTGTACTTGATGGGCCCTAAGGCCCTTCCCAGCTCTGTCGAAGGCTCTGCCTTCAGTGCTGGGAGAGAGTAGAAGAATCCGAGTCAGAGAATCTGGATTTGAATCTCAGCAGTCGTCCTTGGCGGTCACTGACTCTCAGGACCTTGGTTTCCCCCTAAGTAAAATGCGGGAGGTGGGCCGGATGGCCTCTCAGGTCCCTTTCAGCTTTATTCAGAACCTGGAGCTCCTCCAGTCCACCCCGTCTCTTTACAGAGGAGGAAACTGAGGCCCCGGAATGCTAGGTAATCGGCGTGGGGTCACACAGGTAGCAAGCATCCTCATCCTGACCCCTTTCTCCGTCCCACTCTCAGAAGTATCTTAGGAGGCGGAAGTACTCCTTGTTTGCCACCTTCTACTCGGCCACCATGCTTCAGGACGTCGATGACGCCATACAGTTTGAGGTCAGCATTGGTAATTATGGGAACAAGTTTGACACCAGCTGCCTCCCGCTGGCCTCCACCACCCAGTACAGCCGGGCTGTCTTTGATGGTAAGGCCTGGGGCCCAGAGTTCCCTGGGGTAGCAGCGTAGAAGGAGAGACCCCCAGACTGGGGCACCGGGCCCGTGAGGTGGAAGAGGGGAGAGCAGGGCCTGGACACGGGGGAGCCCGCTTGATGTGTGTGGGAGGAAGGGGGCTGTCTGGTATTTCCTTTAGCTCATCCTTCTTGCTCACCAGGTGCTAAGCTCTGTCCTCTCTTCTGCTGGAGGCTTCATTAGACTGCAAGCTCCTTGGGGGCAAGGACTATCTTTTGCCTTTTTTTGTATCCCCAGTGCTTAGCACAGTGCCTGACACTTAATAAATGTTTACTGAATTGAACTGAACTTCAAGTGTCTAAATCTGGCACCTTGAAGTTGTGGTCTGCTGACCTGCCCTAGTTATGGCTTTGCAGAGCAAGATGTGATGGGAGCAGGAGGGACAGGAGAGCCAGGGGGAAACCCAGAGCACCCAGACCTAATAGGGACTCAGTCCTTTTGGATGTTGGCCTTTCCCTCTCCTCTCTCTCCTTCTCTCTTTCCCTCCTTTCTCTCTCTCTCCCTCCTTCTTCCTTCCCCTCCCCACTCTCGCTCTCTTTCTCCTTCTTACTCCCCACCTTCCCCTTTCCCTCTTGTAGTCTTAGTTACCCAGGACACTGAAGGGTTCAGGGACTGACCAGGGTCACACAGCCAGTGTATGTCAGAGGCAGAACCTGAACCCAAGGCCTGTGACCTGCGGTGCATGCTGGTAAATGTTTAACAACCGTTCTCTGAAAATGCAGGGCACACTTTTAAATTTAAGCTGCATTATCAACATTTTCTATATTGCTTTCTTAAGTCTAGACGATCAACCAGGCAATAAATCAGGCCCTAATTGGTAGCGTTTGTCAATATTGGGGGTGTAAATGCCCGCACTGAACATTTAACCATCGGCTCTCAGGAGCCCACAAGAGCTGGCAGGCCCCAGGATGCCCCTGCCTGCCCCTGCCCCTTCAAAGTGCTCTATGGATGGTTGTTATTATTGCAGTCGTCATGGGGAGCCCCATCATTTCTTCACTGCAGCCCGCTGATCTGGTCTTTCTTTGTCTCTCCATCCTCATCCTCCCCCATTTCTAATGGGTCCCACTGTCCTTTGCCCCTCCTGGTGCTGGGCCTGGGCGTCCCCGCCAGTCGAAGCCTCGGTCTTCAGCCAGGCGTCTTTCCCAGATGAGGCCTGGCCCTCTCCCCTTCCCTGCCGCTCCCTGACCAGGGCGGGCAGGAGCCTGCAGCTGGGGATGAGGGCACAGCTGGGCCGGCCTTCGCAGAGCACTCTCCACCAGCTGGCCATTGTTGACTCAGGCACTGGGCCCAAACCACCAGGGAGGTTGCCCTGGGCCACATCTGTGGCATCCGTCAAGGCTGGCAAAGGGATGGGGTATGCTTGTGTTGTTCCCTTGTTGCCAAGGCCAACATGTTTTGGTATGCCAATTCTTTTGCTGGGCTAAGAAACCCTGACATGGATAGCAGCCTCCAGTTAAGTGAGTGGCCCGTTGGGTGACTAAAGAAGGATAAACCTAGGCAGACGTTTGGTCGCTGATGAGCAAAGGGGCATCCTGGAGGTGGGATACATCACTCTCATGCCCCAGAATGCCCCAGAATCATGTGGGGCTGCCCTTCTTTCCTCCTCTCCCCACACTCAGTCCAGCTTCCTTCTTTCCTCTCTCCTTTCCAGGGTGTCACTACTACTATTTGCCTTGGGGCAATGTGAAGCCTGTGGTTGTGCTCTCCTCCTACTGGGAGGATATCAGCCACCGGACAGACACGCAGAACCAGCTGCTGAGCATTGCGGACCAACTGGTGAGCCCCACACGCCCCAACCCCCTGAGCCCCTGCCCTTCCTATCCAGTGCAGGCACAATACTGAGGATGGAGGAGAGAAGGCTCAGAGGGCACAGACTAGGGGCCTTCGAATGTTCAGGCGGCCAGATTTCCCAGTGGACAGAGCACATAATAATGGCCCCTACCCTGCCTCCCAGAGTCGTTGTGAGGCTAAAATGAAATGGCACTTTTACAAACCTTAAAGTACTATAGAAATGCTAGCTATTATTGTTATTGTTATTATTTAGGAAGCTCTTATGGGAGAGAGGGGTCAGCCTGGTTCTGTTTGGTGCCTGAACTATGGATAATGGGGAGAAGTTCCCAAGAAGCATATTTAAGCTTGATCTATTGACCTCTTTGGCCCTCACTTTCCTAACCCATAAAATGAGGGAGTTGGATTAGCAGCACCTTAGCAGTGGATAGGATCACCAAGGGGACGAACATGGAGAGGAGGGCTTATGACACTGGGGAGAATGCCCACACTTGAGAATTTGGGAGGAGAAAGAGGAGGGATGGGCGCAGAGCCCAATGAATTTAGCCGTTCTCCAATCAATGGGCATGTGTTTGGCTCCCAGCTCTTTGCTACTGCAAAAAGGGGTATTAACGTATAAATGTATTGGGGTAGATAGGTCCTTTCTTTGGATTTTGTTCTTCTTGGGGTATATGAGCTTTCTCTTTTATTAAACAGAGCTTTCTGTTTTAATAAGTTATACTTCAGTCAGTCAGTAAGCATTTATTAAGCACCAGCTATGCTCCAGGTACTATGCTAAGTGCTGAGCATGTGAAAGAAGGCATGGTTTTTGCCTTCCCCCAAGGAGCTGCTCACAATCTAACGGGAGACAACTTACCAAAAAATGCACATGTACGAAAGAGAAACTGGGTTGTGCCTGGGGGTGTACAGAGAAATGGGAGTGGGGGCTGTCAGTTCCTTTCCTCATGCGGTCATTCAGTCTCTCTCTTTGCCCTCCCCTGGGTTGTACCTCTAGGAAGCCGGCCTGAATAAGATCCACGTAGCCCTCAAGGCTCAGTTCTCAGCAGAAGACCTTGATGGCCTGGTGGCTGAGGTGATTGACAACCTCATCTCCGACTGCAGGTACTTATTGCTTTTCTCACCTCTTTTCCCTTTCCCCGCCTCCCTCCTCCCGTCATCTCTGATGCTCAGTCTGTCCTAAATGGGAGAGGAGGGGGTGCTCGGCTGGACGGAGCATGCCTGGCTGCCCACTGCCTTCAGAGGTTTCAGAGCCAAGGCACGAAGTTGAAAAGGTGATATTTAGAGCAGGTCATAAATCTCCCGGCCGCTGCTGCCGGTCTGAGCCTGTCCTGGGGCCCACCTGAATGGGCAGCATTGTGTCTCTGATTGGGATCCGTGATGGGATCTCCAGGAGACTCTGGCAGCCGCGCCTTGGCCCCCTCTTGCCTTGCTGGGGATGGTGCTGGGGTTGATCTCCACGTCCCCCCCCACGATAAAGCAGAGGACAGGTTTTGTTTAGCCTGTCGTCGACAAGGCTGGTTGTTGGTTTGAGCAAAAGGGAGGCAGGGAGGGCAGTATCAGAGAAATCAGATTAGATCAAGGGTCAAGAGTCAGCTCTGAATTGGTAGGACAGAGATGGTAGCACAGGACAGGACCAAATGGAATGACATTTATAAAGCACTTAGCAAGTACCCAGCACATAGTAGGCACTCTTCCAATGCGTTATTGCCTTCCCTTCTCACCCTGAGTCTGTGAAATGAAGACTGGAACAGAAGAGAAATGAGGGATGTATTAGAACTGATGGCTCGCCTTCTGTACCTCAGGAGACCGTCTTAGAGGGTCCTCCGAGCCTCAGGGAGGCTAAGGGACTTGTCCGCGGTCATACAGTCCGTAGGTGCCCAAGGCAGGATTTGGACCCAGGTCTTTGTGACCCCCAGTCTGAGGCACTGTTCAGTGGGCTAGGCTAGACTTTCTGTAAAATTGTGCATTTGCATCAGGGGGCTCACGGAGGAGCGCACTAGTGTGTGTGTGGTATCTCTAATTGTCTCCCCACCTCCCTGAGGAGTCAGAATGGGATGGAAGGAAGAGAGGCTGGCACAGAGCGATCCATGAAAACTCGTGATCTTGCCAATGCTGCACACCGCGTTATTCTCACTCACTCATTCATCCGTTTATTCAGTGAAGATTTATTGAGCAAGCTGCTGTGTTTGGAGAGCCCTGAGCTAGCACGGGGCAGGTGTGGGGAAGCCGGGCACCCCGGGTTATCTGATGCCCACGAGCTGGTCCAGCCTGGGCAGGCAGTCAGTGCACTGAGACACGCACAGCTTCACGGATTCCCTCAACAGACACTCATCGGGCGTCTGCTCAGGAAGGGGCCAGGACGTGGTCGGAATTCAAGGGCGAATAGTCCCTGCCCTCAAGACACTGCCATTCTGCTGGGGGCAAATATTCCCTTTCTCCCTTTTGGGAGATGCTTCATTGCTGCCATCCTCGCCCCTTGGCTGCTTCTCCAGGTAGAATGTCAGCTCCCTGAGGGCAGGGATTCTCGTTTTTGTCTCTGTATCCCCAGTGCCTGATATATCAGTCAATCACAATCAATCAAACGAGCATTTATTGAGCACCTACTGTGTGTTAGGCATTGTGCAAAGCACTGGAGTTACAAAGATAAAAACTAAACGATCCATCCAGGAGACGATAAGATAAACCCCAGAAATACTTGTCGGTTGACTGATGGATGAGAAGAGGAGCTGTGGTTCCCGAAGGGCTGAGGTTAAATTTCAACATCCTGGCTGAAAGAGCATTGAACTGTCAGTCAGCAAACATTTATTAAGCACCTACTGTATGCCAGTCACTGGGCTAAGCTCTGAGAAAACAAATACAGGAACAAAGAAAGACAGCCCCTGCCCTCAGGGAGCTGATATTCTAAGGGAGGGGAGGGAAGGGGGCGTGGCGGAGAAGTCCAGAGGAGCGCAGCCTGGTGGGAAACGAACGATGCTTGGGCTCTCTGCTCTGATACTGGCCTTTGTTTTCACTGCTGGAAGAAGAGAGGGTTGGGCTCCTGGGATTGCCAAGGAGGCTTGAGTCCAACTGCCTCATCTGCCAATTGAAGCTTAGGCCACCTGCCCAGGCTCATACAGCCAGCGAGTTCGAGGCAGGATTCGAACCCATGTCTACACCCTATCTGTTGCACCGCTCTCAGTTCTGAGAGCCCAAGACTTGGCCTCCATTTGACGCTGTCTCAGCTCAGCCACAATTTCACTGAGTTGACTTTGTGACTGTGAGCTGGTCATTTTCCTTCTCTGAGGCCTCGATTTCCCCCTCTGAAAAGTAGTCCCTTCTCTCTGCAGCATGACATTTTTGGGGTTTGGGTGGGGTTGTCTTTAAGGCTCCTTCAGCCTGCCCTCCAAAAGCATCCCCCTCCCCTCAGTAACGATTCCTCGTTAGATTTCTGTCTGACGCTAGCTGGTGACCCTGGGCAGGTGACTCGGTCTCTCTGAGCCTCAGACAGCTTTCTCAGACTGTCGCCCTTGTGAATATACAAGTTGTTACCTGCTGAGGTTTGCAACCTCTGCCTGCGACCCTACACATGCCTCTCATCACCCGTCTGCCCCTAGAGAGCTCCCCAATGGGCAGGAAGAAGGATACAGACAGAAAGGAAAACTTCCCCAGGAGCTTAGGGGAGAAATTCTGTCTAGAAACACAGAGGTCGTGTCTCCCATCAGATCGGGGCTCCCCGAGGGCAGGGCCTATCTCCCATCAGACCAGGCCCCCAGGAGGGGCTTTCAGCTCCCCGTTAGGTCAGGGCTCCCCAAAGCTGGGACTGGGTCTCCCCACTCAGACCCTTGATGTCCCGGCTCCTTCCGATGCCACAGGAGGCGGTGGGCTCTGAGGCTTTGTCCCAGACGTCTCTGTGGGATTGTTTCGAGGTGTTTTCACAGCCTACACACAATTCGTGTTCCTGTTTCCAAAGCCAGACAGAACATGTGCGGGGCCTCCGTTACCTTTGGCAGCATCCACTCCTGTTTTTTCATAGCCACCCCCCAGTCCATCTTCCTGGGTAGATACCGAGTGGTGACTGTCCTGGCCCTCCCCGCCTCCCCACCTCCCCTGGCACCTGCCTCCTCTCGGAGTTTTCCTGTTGATCAGCAGGGGCCCAGGTCTCTCCTTGGACTGGGGGGATGCCAGGCGTTTGCTCAGACAGCCTTGGCTGGGCTCGTGGCCTCCCTGAAAACCTCCCCTCTGTGGCCAGTCTCCCAGCCTCCCCCAGCTGCTGTCCCTTCGCCGGAGACATAAATCACCACCGCAGGCTTCTTCTTCCAAGCGGCTGCCTGGGCTTCCCTGCAGTGGCCCCGGGCAGGGCCCGCTCCCAAACTGGCAGTCCAGGGGTACCTGGCTGGAGGTTGCTGTTTGGCTCCTTCTGGGAAGGACCCCCAGCTGCTGAGCTGGAGCAGTGGAGAGGACCCCCGCCCTCCCACTTACCCCGACCCTCCCCAGCAAGCACCAGAACTTCCTTTTGGCCAGGCTGTGCTGTGCTACGTGACCCGAGCCAGGCCCTGGGGCTTAGGTTTCCCCGAGATGGAGCTGGCTCTCGGTTCCCCCTCCCTGCCCGCCCCCCTTCAAAATTCAATTAAAAAAAATAACAGGAAAAATGTCGTGAGGCTGAAGGCTGCCAAGGCAGCGTATCTGGCGGGCGGGCGGGTAGGCGCTGGTGCCGCTCGGGCGGTAATTGCTTCTGCATAGCTTGGGGAGATTGGCAGAGAAATAAATCAGCGTGGAGCCAGGAGCGGGGAGCCCAGACGAGGCCGCTGCTGCTGCCTCTGCCGCAGGAGGGGAAGGGCAGGACGGGACAGGGTGGGTGGCTAGCTGTCCGGTCACTGGGGTGGGGGGATGCTGGGGATGGCTGCCTGGGCTGAGCTGGGGGCTGGGGCTGTGCGGGCAGGCAGCCCCCTTTCTTCCCTTTCTGCGCCAGTGTCCCCTGGTGCTCTTCTGAGGCTGCTCAGGAGGGGTGGGTGGGTGAAACCCCTAGTCTGCAGAGACTTTAGTCATTCATCTGGAAGGGAGCCCCCCACTCCTGGGCAAGGACCCTGGATCACAGGGCATAAGGGGCAAGCCTGGGCCTCAGACTTGGGGTGCTTATGGTCCCCTTCCCAGAGGAAGCCTTTTTCCCAATGGGGAGCAAACGCCTCCCCCTCCCCCCTTCAGTCGGGGGAGAGGTATCCATACTCCATTAAGTCACCTCCCTACTACACCTTGTGAGGTTCTGTTTCTGGCTTGTGGTCTCCTTCTCCCCAACCTGGGGGATGCTCAGGGCCAGAAGGATGACTGGAGGGGTGTATGGGTCTGCAGGGGGTCAGCACCGTAGCTATCCTCAGTCATTAGCCTTCCCAGTCTGTCTGCCATGCCCTGTCAGGGTCCCATAAATTTCATTGTCAAAGTAGACATAGAATTTATTCATTTAAACAGTGAGTGCCTGACTACAGCATGTCCAGCCCTTTTCTCACTTACCTTGAGGGTTCAAATCTGGCCTCGGACACTTACCAGCTGTGTGACCCTGGTCAAGTCAACAGACCACTTTCTTGCCTCAGTTTCCTCAACTGTGAAATGGAGATAATAATAGCACTTTCTTTCTGGGGTTATTGTGAAGCTCAAATGAGGTAATATTTGTAAAGCGGTAAGTAGAGTACTCAGCACATAGTAGGTACTAGAGCAATCAATAAAGCACTTACTATGCGCTTATCAAGTGCTGGGGATACAAATATATAAATTCTAGCTGTCATTACTATCCTCATTTTACACATGAGGTTGAAATGACTTGCCCAGGGTCACACCACTAGTGAGTGACCAGGTGTGGTTTGAACCCTGATATTCCTGATTCCAAATTCAGAGCCCCATCTACAAAAGGCCTCATGGTGGGGCATAGTGGAAAGACAGTTGGCCTTGGAGGCAAGAGAGGGAGGTTCAGGCCTCAGCTCTACTGCCCACTGGCCCATGAAACTGAGGGTCTCCCTTCAGGGTTCTGAGACTCAGTTTCCTCATCTGTAAGTGGAAATAATAATCCTGCACGACCTACCTCCCGCTGTGTTTTTATGGAGAAAGCACTTGGTAAAACTTATTAAAAAAAATAGACATTTTTACTGATGCTTTTTAAAGACGTTGCTGTCATTTCCCAGTTGGATCCTGAGCAAAACGAACCCATTTGTCATGTCTGACCATGTCTGCCTTGCTCTACCTCTTTGCTGAGAGGAGGGAGGAGGCATGCTTGTGTCTGGTATCACACCTGCTCCTGTCGCCTCTCTCACCCCACGGACAGTCAGCCTCTGGTGGACGTCAGGGAGAAGCCTTCAGCCACGCACCTGGACCACTACCTGTACCGCCTTCGGACCAGCAACCTGACCCAGATCATGCACGCTGCCCTCGAGCTAAAGCACGCCAGCGCCCGCGACGATCTGACCGTCGCCCTGGAGCAGGCGGAAGACTGGCTTCTGCGGCTCCGGGCCCTGGCCGATGAGGTAGCCTTGGGTGGGGTCCGGAGGCTAGAGGCAGTGGACCGACGTTAGCACTGGAAGCAGCTTCTTTGGAATCACGGCCGATTCTGTTTCTTCCTCATCAATGAGGGTTGGGGGTTCAGGGCCTAGATTTCCTTTGGGGTCCCTTCTATCTCTACCTCTCTGCTTCTCTGTGCTATCTTGGGCAAAACACTTATCCTTTTCGGTCTTTGCCTTTCTGATCTCTAAATTAATGTTGATAATAGTACCTATCACCCGGGGCCACTGGGAAGATGAAATATTTGTCAAGTTCTTTGCCATCCTTAAATACTGCTATGTAAAGGCTAGCTGGTAGCTACTTAGCAGTCTCTGCTCTGCAGTGTTAAAGGCTTTCTTTACCCCCTTTTCTCACAATGTCACCAGGACACCCCCTGGAACATCCCCCCTTCCCATCTCTCTTTGGACCACTGGCCCTCAAAGGGGTTAGATATTCACAAGAGAATGTAAGCGCCCTGAGGGAAGGGGCTATTTCTTCTTCTGTTATTGTATCTCTAAGCGCCTTCCTCATCCTAGTCGGTGCTGGGTAGAAGCTTGCTTATTGATTGATTTATGGATTGATTGAAGAAAAGAACAGTCACAGAAATCCGAGATTGCTAAAATGTTACCTGATTAGGAGAACAAGCTTCCTAAGCAGAAATGAGTTTACTGTCCTAGGATTTAAAGAGCCAGAATGTCCCATGGAAGTCCTGGGATGGCAGGACCACAAATTGAGAGCCGCAAGGGAGTTTAGAAGGCATTTAGTCCAAACCTCATTCATTTTGCAGGTGAGGGAACTGAGGCCCAGAGCCTGAAGACCCCCTTTGAGGTGCAGTAGCCAGATATGCCCATGGTATCCCCACAGGCGGGTGGGATGAGGGGCAGAGGCCAGTCCTCCTCTGGGGAGATACGAAGTTCTCTTTGGAGGGGGGCTGGAGACCCCCCTCAGGGAGGTCGGAGGGCTGGGAGGTGGTGGTGGTGGTAGTGGGAGAGGTTGTTGATTTATTACAGTCTGTGCTGAGGTAGAGATTTGGAGGATGAAGGGAAGGGGGAAGGCTGGGGAGAAGAATTTCCGGAGGAGTTAGCTCTCCCAAAGACTGGGGAGGGTTGGAAGCAGGGAGAATTCCAAAGCAGAAGGAAGGCATCCAGAAACATTCATCCTCTAAAGCTAACTTTGGACTCCTTCCCTGTGAAAAGGAGCTCATGCCTGTGGCTTGTTAGCTCAGTGGTTAGATCCTGGTCCTAATGAGGCCAGGGTTATGGCTTTAGTCTCTGTCTGGGCCACGTAGTTATAAGGAGGAAAACTGCTCTGTGACCCCAAACGGATACCTCCTTCCCCCACCTAGCTCGGTGACCTTGGACGAGTCACTAAAACCTTTGTTCGCCTCAGTTTCCTCAAGTGCAAAGTGGGGATCATAATAGCACGTACCTCAGGATTTTTTTGAGGATTAAATGAGATAATATTTGTTTTTTAAAAAGTGCTTAGCACAGTACCTGGCACACAGTAGGCACTATATACATATGTATATATATATATATACACATATATGTGTATATATATACACATATATGTGTATATATATACACATATGTGTGTGTGTATATATATATATATATACACACATATATGTATATAAAATACATATTCCCTTTCTGCTACTGATCTTGGCAATAAATTGACCCCTCATCCTGGTCACAGACTTATCCATTAATCTCTGCTAAAGAAAGGACTTAATCTGGGGCATAGATTGAACCTCAATTGAACCCAGGCCAATAAGCATTAATTGAGCACCATTTGTATGCTAGGTACTGTGATGGGGATACAGTCCCTGCTTTCGAGGAGCTTATATTCTACTGGAGGAGGGGGCAAATGTACATGGCTAAGTATGTACACAATAATTTTTCCTTTGCCTGGGAATTCTCATGTCAGGACCTTCTTCTACTGGTGCCAATCAGCACTTTCTTGACAATTTATAATCCTAGCCTGTAGTAATTAAGTGACCTGTCCAGGACAATGCCTTCAGTCTGGGTCAGAGGCAGGATCTGATCCCAGGTCTTCCCTGGCTCCAGGGCCAATTTGCTCTCCATTCCCGGGCTGTCAAGCTCATCCCTGTGGGTCACAGGCTGACCTGGAAAATCACAAATTAACATTATCTATGTCAGATTTTTACTTATTTAGTTAAACATTCCCCAATTACGTTTTAATCTGACTCAGGCTGTGAATCTGACACCTCTACAATGTAACACACAAGTATCTCTCCTACAAAATTATGTAGAGAAATATGTAATTATGTAGAAAAATAATTTCAGGGGCAGCACTAATAGCTAGAGGGATCCAGAAAGAGGGGTCTACCACCCTAACCCTGTGGATCCACCTCCTGAAGAAGGAGGTGCCTTAGTTTTGCTTTGAAGGAAGCTAGAGGTTCTATGAGGGAGGGCATCCCAGGCATGGGAAGAGCCTGTGCAAAGTCACGGAGGTGGGAGATGGGACGTCATATATGGGGAGCGGCAAGAAGGCCAGTCTGGCTGCAATACAGTTTTGAGGAAGATTCATGTGCAGTCATGCAGAGAGCGCTGGGCCCGGAGTCAGAAAGATCAGAGTTCAAATACGGTCTCAGATACTTCCTAGCTGTGTGACCCTGGGCAAGTCACTTCATCCTGTTGGCCTCAGTTTCCTTCTCTGTGAAATGGGGATCCTCATCGCACCTACCTCCCAGGGTGGTTGTAAGATCCAGTAAGATGGTGGATGTAAAGCACTTTGCAAGCCTTCAAGGCTATATGAAAGTTAGTTTTTGTTATCAATAAAGATTTACCGAGTTCCTCCCATGTGCCTAGACCTGTGCTGCACACTGTGGGAGAGACAGGAGGAGGATTGGATTAGGAAGGGTCCTCATTGGCACCTGGCCAGCAGTCCCCTCTCCAACAAGTCTGACGAGTGTTTGCCTCTATCCAGGGGGACCCATCACCTCCCAAGGCAGACCGAGATTGTTAGCAAGCTTCCCCCTGGCACCGAGTCTAAATGAGAGGAGGGAGATGTGAATGTGGGCAGGGGGTGGCCTGGGACGCTGGCCTGGGAAGGAGGAGGAGGCCCCAGTTAGGTTGTTTTCAAGAGTTGCTGGGGCCGTCTGAGGGAGGCAGGGCATCCCCCCCAGCTCAGTCTGGTCATGGGTCCTTGATCCAAAGGATGAAGGGATTCTCCCTCCACCGTCTGGGATTCTCTTGGTTTGAAAGCTCTTTTCACTGATACCGTTATACATGAATGGTCATTCTTGAGTTTCTGGGGCCCAAGATTTCATGAGCTTGTGGCCAGCCCTGTGAGGCCACTCACCAAGCCCCGGTGAGGACGTGTCACTGTTGGAAGGGATCTCAAAGGCCCCTTACCCGAACAAAAAGCCCCCTCCATCCCTGCCTCCCTAGGGGTCATCTAGTCTTTGCTTGCAGAAACTCACCCCCCAACTGAGGGGAACCCTTCCTGCACCTTTCACTTTGAGCGTTGATCTAACTGTCAGGAAATTCATTTGTTTTTTTCCCATAAGGATAGAGATAGAACCTGTGATTTTTGATGGTATAAGGAACTCCCAGGTGAGAGACTGCCTTCCGCCAATGCAAGTGGGCACCCTCACCGCAACTGAAGAGTCTTAGAGCCAAAAGCACTGAGATATTAAATGACATTACCCAAGGTCACATCTTCCTGGACATGAAGCTAGCTCTCTAGGGGCAGCTAGGTGTTACCCTGGAGTCAAGAGGACCAGAGTTCAAATATGGTCTCAGTCACTTCCTAGCTGTGCGACCTGGAGCAAGTCACTTAACCCCTGTTTCCCTCAGTCTCCTCATCTGTAAAATGGGGTTAATAATGGCACCTACCTCCCAGGATTGTTATGAGGAATAAATGAGCTAATATTTGCAAAGAACTTAGCATAGCATGTGGTATACAGTAGGCACTATATAAAGGTTGGCTTTTATCATTACTGTCATTATTATTATTTTTACCCATTCCTCCAGGATTTTTCCTTTCCTGTTATAGAGCCTAAATCTTGTCTCCCCATCTCTTCCAAGCCACTGCTTCTAATTCTGCCCTCTGGGGCCAAGTGGAATAAATGGAATTTCTTCAAATTCCTGAAGGCGGCTCTCATACCCCTCCTAAACTGAGTCCAAGACCCGGCCCCTGCCCTCGGGGCACTTCCAGTCTCAGAAAAGCCGGGAGAGGACGATGGAGGAGGGCAGGAAGGGTCTGGGACCAGACTGCGGTCTAGACTTCGAAGTGTTCCATTTCGGGGAGGAGGGCGGGATGAGCTCCCTGGGAAAGGCTTCCTGGAGAAGGTGGCCTTGCAGGATGGTTGGGATTTGGCAAGGTGGGCTAAGGGAGGGAGGCCGCCAAGGCTGTCTGGGCTGGCGTCGGGCCATGGGGGCCCCTTGCCGGCGCTCACAGAGTCCCCCATTGTTCTCCCCCTTCCCCACCCTAGCCTCAGAACAGCCTGCCCGACATAGTGATCTGGATGCTTCAGGGTGACAAGCGCATGGCTTACCACCGCGTGCCAGCCCACGAGATCCTCTTCTCTCGGAGTGGGGCCAAGTGCTGTGGCAAGAACTGTGGGAAACTGCAGACGATTTTTCTGAAAGTAAGTCTTTCCTCCCCCGGGGTCCTGGGTGGCTTAGTGCTCCCCTCCCACCACTCTGAGGACCAGATACCCCGCCCAGGGATATGGGTGAGAACCCTCTGAAGATGGCCCCTGCCCCTTCAGCACCCCCAAGCACCCCAGACCCTGCCCCCCAAGAGACAGTCTATTGGGACATGGGCTCCTCTGGTCTCGTGGACTTGGAGCAAGAAGGAACCTCAGAGGGCATCCAGTCCTCTCCCCTACTTTACAGAGGAGTAGACTGAGGCACAGGGAGGGATGAAGGCCAGGATCACACAGCTAGTGAGGAGCAGATCCAAGATCTGAAGCCTGGTCAGAGGATCCTAGAATTAGAGCTGGAAGGGACCCCCAAGGCCGTCAGCCCCAATGTGCTCATTTTACAGATGAGGAAACTGAGGCACAGAGCAAGTCACACGTTAGTAAGCAGCCTTGCCAGGATTAGAACCCAGGTCCTCTGACTCCAAGCCCAGCCCTTTTTTTGTGACTCCCAGCTGTCTCATATATTCCTGTGTCCTGTGGTTCTCTGCATGTGTGGAACTACAGCATTTAGAGATAGAAAAAAAAAAAAACCAAACCTTGGAGATTATCTAGTCTAACTCCCAGTAAGTTACAGATAGGGAAACTGAGGCGCAGAGAGAGAATCCTAGATTTTGGACATATAAGAAAGGAACCTTAGAGGTCATGGAGTCCAACTTCTTCATTCGGGGAAGTTGTCCCAGGCCTCGAAGATCGGAAGAGACAGTGTCACAATTTGAACTCAGGACCTTTGACTTCAAAGCCAGTTCTTTTTATGGTCTTCGATGGAAGGACTGCTTGTTTCCTTCAGGGGGCTCCTTGAGGGGGGGTCCAGGCCTCCTCTACCTGACTTGGGGGTGTCAGAGGGTAAGGGTCACAGTGGCAGCAGGGAGGTACCACTGCCTTCCCGGTACCATCCTGTGGTCCATCAGTGTTCTGCTTTTTAAGGTTGCTCTAGACCTCTCCTGGCCTGGGGTCCTCCACAACCCCCCCCCCCGCCTGCTGTGGGGAGAAGGGGCCCAGGGGGCTGCATGGTCTGAGAAGAGAACTTTCCCTCTTTGGGAGCAGCTAGCCGTGGACCTGGGCCCTGGTCAGCCTCGAGATTTCTAGTCCATGGCTAGCTTTCCTGTTCATCCTCCTGCCTCCCCTCTGCCCCTCTTGGGAGGGGTCTGTGCGGCCACTCAGCAGGGGAGCAGGTGCTCAGCGCTGGGGCCAGCTGCCTTGTAGCCAACGCTCTCTGTGGGCCGCCCACAGGCTCATTAATTTGGAGAAAAAAAAATCAGACAAGGCCGATTTGGCCCCAGGAGCGTGTGGTCAGGACATGGTGCTGTTGGGCTGGCCAGGCTCTTAGACACCAGAATCCTGGGGCTCTTGTGTGGGGACAGGAGGGGCTGCCATGGGGGACTTCCTCACACGGGCAGAACTGGAAGGGATGTCAGAACCCCCTCATTCTGTGGAGGAACAAGCCGGTTCAGTCGAGACAGAAGGGCTCTCTGCCTCCCTGACTTCTCCCAAGAGCAGAGCTGGGGTTAATCAGAGAAAACTTCCTGGAAGAAAAGTCAGCATCACGGAGCAGAAAGAGCTCCCTGTTTGGCATCCGAGGCTCTAGGTTCAAATCCTGGCTTCGTCCCTTCCTTTATGCTCGACCTGGGGTGAACCCTTGCCTCCCGGGCCTCAGTTTCCTCCTTTGTAAAATGGGGGGGAAGTTAGACTTATATGTTCTCAGGGCCCTTTCAGTACTACATTTTGGGGGGGGAAGGGGATTACGAAGTGAGTCCTATGGCAGGGACCCAGGCTATGGCTCCGACCCCCAGACCCCACAGCGTCAGGGAAATCTAAGCTGAAAATTTACCCTGGCTCCAAGTGTGAGAAAAAAAATAGAGAGAAAATTGTTCCTTCGAGTCTTCTCCACTCAGCTCATGAGCTTCTCCAGAGTGTCCTGAGTAAACGGAGAAAAAATGTTGGCGGGGAGCGGAGACCAAAAAAACATTGGTGTTTCTCCACTTCAGCCGAGGTCGGAAAAAATGATCAGCGGCCCGGAGAGCAGAACCCCAAAGTAGACGTTTCTCCAATTGTCGGAGCTATTTTGGGGAGAGCGGGCTGGCCCCAGGGAGCCCGGTGGTGGGTGGGAATTCCAGCTGTCTCTGTTTGGGAGGGGAGAGGACACAGCTGAGTGATGAGTGAGAGAATGAGCGGTGGGGGGATATTTCCACAGTCAGAGGCTTTGCTGTGGGGGGTGCGGGCAGCATCTGGGCCAGCGGCCTCTCCTTTCCCCGAGGAGGTGAAAGCAAGTGTCGCTCAGGCTGGCGGGGGTGGTGATGGGAGGGGATGAAATAAGAGTAGCCCTCCCCAAAAAGAGAACGGGGACGGGGCTCCAAGGACCTGGGTTCAAGGTCAGGCTCCAACACGGGCTAGCCGCCACTTTGGGGGGGCGGCCGTGAGCAAGCCTCTTCTCCTATCTGAGCCTCAGTTTCCTCTTTGCCCGGCTTCCTCATGGGGCCATTATGAAAATCAAATCAGGTGTTGATGTAAGTAAAGTCCTCGGCCTGTGCATAGCTCTGAGACTCATGGGATCAATATGTAAGAGCAAGTCTACAGCTGGACAGGATCTCAGGGGTCATTTAGCTCAGCCCTGTCATGAATAAATGAATGAATGAATGAATTAAAATAATTATGAAGCACCTATTATGGGCCAAGCACTGTGCTAAATGCTGGGGATAGAAATACAAAAGCAAAGACAGCTCCTGCCCTCAAAAAGCTTACATTCTAATGGGAGAGAAAAAGGGGAGTGGGGACCGAGGGCCTTTGGTCTAAAAATTACAGGGTTGGTAAGTGAGGTCTTAGGGAAGTAGGTTGACACGCCCCTTCCAGGCAGGTGAGGAACTGGAGCCCAGGGCGTTAAGGGTTAACACAAAGTCACTCAGGTATTAAGAGGTGACATTGAACCCAGGTCCTCTAACCTGGCTCTCACCACTGTACCATGCTGTTAACTAGAAAGCACCTCTCCCCAGGTTAAGTGACTTGTCCAAGGTCACACAGGTAGTGAGTGGCTACTAAGAAATCATGAATAATAAGTGAATAAATATGTTAAAAACTGTAAGGCCAGAGAAAGAGAAGGTTGTTTTCTTCACTGTCTTTTTATATATCGTCTCCCCCATTAGATTGAGACCTCTTTGAGGGCAGGGACTGTCTTATACCTTTCTTTGTATCCCCAGTGCTTAGCACAGTGCCTGGTACACAGTAAGCACTTAATAAATGTTTACTGACTATGGACGACTGCCCCCCTGCTCTGAGCCCTGACCCTAAATTCGTTTCTAACTCGGGTGTCCCAGGAAGAAAGTTTCTAATAAGCTAATTTTCACTGAAGTCACAGAATCGTGAGGTTTCCAGCAGGAGCCTTAGAGATCTCCTGGTCCATCTTGCTCATGCCCCTTTTTTACAGATGAGGAAACTGAGGCCCAGATTAGTGAGGTCACACAAGTCATCAGAGCTGGGATTTGAAGTCAGAACCTCTCTGTCCCCTAAAGCACACTGGTGTCAGGGACTCAGCATCTGCCCTGCTTAGAGGGTTTGGAAACTTCTGGCCCCCAGGCCAGATCCAGCCTCAGCCTCCTTGCCTCCATCCTCGCCTTCATGGTTGTTCAGAGCTAAACGGAGCTTCTGAAGGTTAGGGTCAAGAGCAGCGGAAGACCTATGAGCCGTGGCCAGTCTGATTTCAAGGGGCAGAGATGATACTCAAGCCCATGAGGAAAGAAAGCGGGTTTGCTAAATCGCTCCAGGCTACTGAGCCTCTCCACTGAGATATTTTTCTTAGAAGTAGATGGAGTCTGACTACCTCTCCTTTCTCTTAAGCCGAAGCAGAGGGGCTGCAGGGAGAGGGGCAGCCCAGGGAGTGAACGAGATGGAGTTTTTGGTCAGTGGTTCCTTAATCACTTAAAGCAGCCCAAGAGCTCGTTCTCTTTTTTTGGGGGGGGGGGGGAAGAGGAGGTCATTATACTTTTTGTAGATGATCCCGTTAGGAGAATATCATAAATAAATATTGAGAGGGCTTGGTCAACAAACCTATGAACCTTCATTAAACACTTACTATGCGCTGGAATACCAAGAAAAAGCAGAAGCAGCCCCCGCCCTTCGTGGCGTGCCCACGTCAGAGAAGGCACTGTGCTCTAGGAGCGAAGCAGAATCGCAGTAGCTCCCGAGAAATGCGAGAGGCACAGATTCAGAGAATCCTCCCCAAACGTTCACACGGACCATTCGTACCTGACCTGTGGTACAGCCCCCCAGCTCATGCTGGTCTGAGCAGCTGCAGTCGGACACACTGAGCCTTCACCCCGACATAGTGACGGCATTTTGGTCCTCTTCCATAACCACCATCCTCAGCACTTATCACAGCACCCGGCACATAGTAGGTGCTTAATAAATATTTATTGACTAGCGACTATGTACATCCATTCAACAGAACGCAAGTTCCGTGAGGGCATTTATTAGCTAGATACTAGCTGTGTGACCCTGGGCAAGTCACTTAACTTCTGTCTGCCTCAGTTTCTTCATCTGTAAAGTGGGGATGTTAGTAGTATCTCCATCCCAGGGTTGTTGTGAGGATCGAATGAGATAACGCATGGAAGGCACTTTGCAAATTTCAAAGAACTGCATTATGATTATAATGAATGCTTTCTTGTTCCGTCATTTTCAGTCCTGTCTGACTCTTCATTGACTCCATTTGGGGTTTTCTTGGCAGAGACACTAGTAGTTTGGCATTTCCTTCTTCAGCTCATTTTTACAGATGAGGAAACCAAGGCTAAGAGGTTAAGAGACTTGTCTGGGGTCACACAGCTAGTAGGTGTCTGAGGCCAGATTTGAACACAGGAAGATGAGTCTTTCTGACTCCAGGCCTGGCGCTCTGTGCACTCTGGTGTCCCCTAGCAGCCCCAGATAATTAATGCTACATTATTATCATCACTATTACTACCATCATCAAGTTTGTATAAATGGCCCCTAGCACAGAGCCTGTGCAAATTGTAAACGTTTAATGATGGATTAAATTAATGATAATGATAAAAATAACAATAATACTCCTGTGACCATCAAAATATTTTTCCATCTCTAAGATCTGATGGGTAAAGTTTGGCTCAAGCCCATTCTCAGACCCGTGGGAAGAGGGGTTACCCTTGTTCTACCTGGCCCTGGAGGGCAGCCCTAGGAGCAGAGGGGAAGGGGCAGGGTTGGGCTGGAGGTCGGCAGAAATTTCCTGACCTTGACCACCGTCCCCCCTCTTCCCCTTCACCCTCTGGGGGGGTGGGCTGCCTTCACAGTTGATGAGCACCCTTTGCCTGGAGATCTCCAAGCAGAAAAGCTAGATGATGACTTGCAAATTATTGTAGAGTTTGATTCCTTGTCCAGGTATGGGACAAGGGGTTTGATGCCAGCTGAGGTCCCTTCCAACTCTGAGATTCTGTGATTCCAGGATTATCAGGCTAAGTGAGGCTCACTTGTAGCAGCCCCAGGGAGACCCTCAGACTTGGCTACTGTATCTGCACCTCGCAGCCCGTAAGATCATGGATGGAGAGCTGGCTGGAATCTCAAATGTTAGCTAGTCCAGCCATCCCATTTCACAGATGAGAAAACTGATGCTTAAATGACTTGCCCAAAGTCACAGAGGCAGGGGAAGCAAGAATCAGAATTCGAACCTAGGTTTCCTGCGGCCAAACCCAGTGCTCTTTCCACTAAGCCCTGGTTCTCTGTTGTACATGACGGTTAACTAAGGGACCAGAGAGCTGATATGCCCTGCTGGAAGACACACAGGCTGCTGGGGCTAGAGATGCGATCAGGGGCCTTTTCCATCTGTTGGTCCTTTCTCATCAAAGTAGAAAGTAAGCTCTTCCGGGCAAGACCCATCCCTCTTTGGTCTTCGGACCCACAGCCCAGCCCATAGGAGCCCCTTGATAAATGATTGTTTTTGGAAGGACCAGCGGTCCTGTCTTCCTCAAGGGCCGCATGCTGAAATATGCTGGCGCTCTAGAGAGAGGGACACGTGAGTGATGAGGTTTTTGAGGTCAGTCTCACAATCTCTCGCCGGGACCATCTGTAAGACCTAGGGGAGACTAGGGCAGAGGGCTGAATGAGCAGCCCTGGTTCTCTCTCCTTCCTCGCCTTCCTCTTTGGTGTCCAGTACCCGATGGAGGGAGTGAAGGGGTCCAAGATGCCAGCCCAGATCCGGGTCCAGCTCTGGTTCGGTCTCTCGGTGGACGGGAAGGAGCTTAACAAGTTTGCTGAGGGGAAGCTCTCTGTCTTTGCTGAAACTGTGAGTAGCTGCCCTTCCTTCTTCTTCCTCTCTCTCTCTCTCTCTCCACTCCATCCCAGGCTGGGTCAAAGTCCTGGGCCGTTCTCCTCCCCTCCCATTCCAGGCTCAGCGCCCCTTTTTTCTTCCCCCATGTAGTATGAGAATCAGACAAAGCTGGCCTTGATGGGGACCTGGGGGACCGTGGGCCTCACCTACCCCAAGTTCTCTGATGTCACCAGCAAGATCAAACTACCCAAAGACAGCTTCCACCCATCTGCTGGCTGGAACTGGGCTGGGGACTGGTTTGTGAGTCCTGAGAAAACGTGAGTCTGGGGCTTGGGGCAAGCAGGGCAGGCTGGGCGGGGATAGGGAGGGAGTGGGGGCCGCCGAATGACAGCAGGGTTTCGGATCAGTGTGGATGATGTCTCCGTGTCTCCCTCTCTCCTCCCTCCTGCCTGCCTGTCTGTCTCTGCCTGTGTCTTTGTGTGTCTGTTTCCATCTCTCTTGTCTGACTGTATCTCTCTCTCAGTTACAATCATTCCCTTATGTCTCTCTCTTTCTCTCTTTCTCTCTCATTGCCTTACACTCTGTCATGCCCACCTGAACCCTGGCATCCCCGTGACCCCTATCCAGACTCCGTGGTGGGAGGGGAGCAGAACTCTTCTCAGATAAGCAACTCTGGAAGGAGGCTCTAATCACCCCTATGACCAACCCCCTTTTCTTGGCCCAGGCTGCTTTACGATGTGGATGCTGGCCACCTGAGCTTCGTGGAGGAGGTATTTGAGAATCAGACTCGACTGCCTGGAGGCCAGTGGATTTACATGAGTGACAATTACACAGATGTGGTAAGGAGGAGCGCTGGGGATGGGGTTGGGGAAGGTCCTGACCGCAGGTTACTGAGGGGTGGTCTGGGGCACAGAAAAGCTGAGACACTGACTTAGGTACACAGCCAACCAGGAGCTTGGCTTTTTGTGACTTTGGGGATTCATCTAGGGCTGTTGCTTAACTCTGTCTCCATCTTTTCCTCTTTATCTGTTTCTCTTTTCCCAACCTTTTCCCTTCTCTTTCCCCCTCTGTCTTTTTCTTCTCTCTCTCTTTCTTGCCCCATCTCTGGTTGTCTTCTCCCTATCTCTCTCTTTCTCTCTCCCATGTCTTTCTCTTCCCTGCTCTTCTTTCTCTCTCTTTCCTCCATCTTTGTCCCACTCATTTTCTTCATTCTCTTCCTTCTTATTCTCCTCTCCTCCCATCTCTGTCTCCCATCTCGATTTCTTAGAATGGGGAGAAGGTGCTTCCTAAGGATGATATCGTCTGCCCTGTGGGGTGGAAGTGGGAAGATGAAGAATGGTCCACAGATCTCAACCGAGCTGTTGATGAACTAGGTAGGTTGGCCTGGTGGTTCGGTATGGTGGGGGTGAAGTGGGTCTCACTGCCTGGAGGGCAGGTCCCCTTCCTACCCATAAGAGGCAGTCCTGTCCTGACTGAGTTATTTGACCTCACTTGGTGAGGCCACTCTTTGGGGGCACCATTGGCCCTTGGGGGTGAGCAGTCTACTCTCTTTGACCTTGGATGGTGAAGCTGGTGGAGATGATGAAGTCAAGGCAACCCACTGGAAACACAGTCCCCTTAAGCAGGCATTTATTAAGTGCCTACTGTATGCCTGAGTGCTGGGTCTGCAGTGACAAAAATGGAACAATTCCTGCCCTCAAGGAGTTTACATTCAAGCCAGGGATTCTATGAGCAACTAATTTGGGCCTGGTTTTAATGGGCCACCTGGGACCCTGCAAAAAAGGACTATGTCACTGATAACTAGGTCTCGGTTATAATAGGCAGTGTGGACAGTGGAAGGAATGCTAGATTTGGAGCCAGAGGACCTGAGTGCAAATCCTAGCTATGTCACACACTACCTGTGTGATCCCTGGGCAAGACAGTTAATTGATAACTATTTATTAAGCTCCTTCTGTTTGTTAGGCATTGGGGATACTTAGAGAAGAACAAAGCAATTTCTGCCCACAAAGAGCTTACATTCCATCAGGAGAAACAATGTGTGCCTGTCTATAAGTGTGTACAAACTTCTCTGGGCCTCAGTTTCCTCATCTGTAAAGGATGTTGGACTTGATGACCTATAAGGTCCATCCTGGCTCTAAATCTATGATCCTGTGATTTTATAAGCTCCCTTTCAGCTTGAAAACTAGGATCCTATGATCAATCAATCAATGAACATTTATTAGGTACCTACTGTATGCCAGGTACTGTGCCAAGCTAGAATTCCCTCTTCCCTGACTAGAACTACTCATCCCATCCCCAGATGACCAGGTCAGGGGGTCCAGAGTCTACAGCCACAACTCCTTTCTCCTCCCTGGGAAAAGGTCCACAGTGTCCCTCTTCCCCCATGCTCTGGGGTGGTGGGAAACTCTACTGTGAGGAATGTTAAGTCACCTGGGTGCTGGTCTCTCCCAGGCTGGGAATATGGCATCATCATCCCACCTGACTGTAAGCCAAGGAACTGGGTTCCAACTGAGAAGATGTATCACACCAGCCGCCGCCGCCGCTGGGTACGTCTTCGAAGGAGAGACGTCAACCAGATGGAGGCGCTGATAAAGGTGAGGCCAGGGAGGTGCTGGGGGGTGGGGGACTTGGGAAGGTTCAGGTCAAACCCACTCCTATTCCACTGATCACAGGGTCAGAGAAGGAGAAGGGGATGAACTTCCCGTGTTTGGGGTCCTGAGGACAGAGGAGATTGAGACTGCTTAGAGAGACCTTGTTTAATAGAAAAATAGACAGATCATAGTTAGGTAGATAGATGGATGGATGGAGAGAGAGGTAAATGGATGGATAAATAGACCATATGTAGATAAATGGATAAATAGACCATATGTAGATAAACAGATAGATACATAGCTAGATCGTAGATAAATAGATCATTAAATGACAGATGATAGCTGGGCAGATGAGACAGGTGATAGATAGACAGCTAGATAACATGTTTATTAAGCCCTTACTATGTGCCAGACACTGTGCTAAAGTTGGAGATAGAAAAACAAGCAAGCAATGTAGTCTTTGCCCTCAGGGAGCTTACATTCTAGTGGGCGAATAAGGGGATGTGGGAAAGCAGGGGCAGGGAAGGGAATTAGCTTTTCTATAGAGCCTCCTTGGTACATGGCGAGGAGCCATCCAGGAAGTCTCCTGGGGGCCCACCTGTCAGAGCCGAGGGTCCAGAACGAATGGCAGTCCAGGTTTCTGGGGGAGCTGATGAGGAGGAGATGGCAGGAATGGGCATGGGGAACTGGAAGAAGGCTCACCTGTCAGAGCAAGGGGACAGGGGGCTGGAGGGCATAGCATGTGCTGGTCTTGGGGACCTGGTCTGATGGAGGAGCTGCAGCCTCTGTGACACCCACTTGGTCTTTTAGCTCCAGCCTCGATTTAACTGCCCACATGGTCAGCCTGCTCCCAGGTGCCCCCTTTCTTATGACCTACCGTGTGTTCAGGAGAGCAGTCACCCTGATCAAATTGGTCAACAATCAACAAGGTTTTAGTAACTCCCTGCCTCGAGCCGAGTTCTGTGCCAGGAGCTGGGGAACAAAGACAAAGGAGTCCCTGCCCCCACGATGCTTGCGCTCTGAAGGGGAGAAAATGTGTCTAAAAGTATGGTTAGGAAGGGCAGCCAGGGGGTGCAGTGGGTAGAGCTCCAGGCCCAGAGTCAGGAAGACTCATCTCCGAGTTCAAATCTGGCCTCAGACGCTGACTATCTGTGTGACCCTGGGCAAGTCACTTCACTCTGTTTGCCTCAGTTTCCTCATCTGTAAAATAAGCTGGAGAAGGAAATGCCATATTCCCAGCCTGGGAGAGAACCACTCCAGTATCTTTGCCCCAAAAATTCCAAATGGGGTCGTGAAGAGTTGGACACAACTGAGCAGCAAGTTAGGGAGGGCAGGTCTGAGTCAGAACAACTGAGGAAGGCACCTGGATTCTCCAGGCTATAACTTCCTTCCTTGAGGGGGGACATGCAGAGGAGTGGAGGCAGAAGCTGTTGGCCAGACCAAGCCTCCAGTCCTCCCCTAAGGGGCTCGGCCCAGTGCCAGACCCAAGCCGGGCCAGGCTGGTGTGCAACTCCAGCCTGACGCTTTGCCCCCTCCTCACCAAATGTTCCAGGGGCTGGAGGTGATGCTGGGACAGAACCAGGGGCCAGGCAGGGTGTCCCAGGAAGCCAGACTGTGGATGGGCCAGTGTCCAGGAGTTGGAGACACTGCTGCTCCTTGTCCCCTGGATAAAGGCCCAGAGAACAGGGTCCCTGGGGCTCTTGCCATTGCTGGACCCAGGCTCTGTACGCTGGGGGGTGTTTTTTAGACTGTCTTCTCCTCTACCCCCAGTCACTTTGTATTACCTGTGCAGATGCTGTATCTCCCTGTAGAATGTAAACTCCCTGAGGTCAAGATCTATCTCATTTTTGTCTTTGTATGCTGCTTCATACAGTGCCCAGCACATGGAGACAGAGATAAGGACTAGACCTTGGTTTTAAATAGTGTAGGGGAGCTTCCAGGGAGGAAATCTCTCCACCAAGGCAGGTTAGAGCCTTCTCTGCAATTTATAATCTCAGAGAGCCATCCAGAGTATGGAGAAGGTACATGACCTATTCAGAACCACTCATCCAGGATGTATGATTTGAACCCAGGTCTTCATGACTTTGAGGCCAGTTCTCTATCCATCATACCATGATACCTCTCAATGGCACACACTAGGAATTTAATAAATGCTTGTTGATTGACTGAGGGGTATCAGGTACTCTTCTATGCCAGGCCTTCCCCCTGTGAGCCTTTGGAGGTGGTGGTGGTGGAGAGAACAGTTGTATACACGTGTGGGTTGTCTCCTCTTTGGATGTTTCCACAGGACCTGGGATTTCGAGGATGCGAGATTGGGGAAAGGGGTGTAGTGGGGCAGGACCATGAGAGAGACTTCATTATAATAACTCATGTTTTTTAAGGCTTTCAAGGTTAACAAAGCACTTGCTCTATGAGGGAGGTAGTACAGATATTCTTCTCCCCATTTTACAGATGAGAAGAGTAAGGTTCAGAGAGGTTAATTGACTTGCACAGGATCAAAGAGCCGAGATTAGAACCCACACCCTGACTCTAAGTTGTTTGCACTCTGCCCTAATGTTTCTTTGTAGCGCCAGGCATGGGTCCCAACCTTTGTTTTTTGCCCCCTGCTCCATTCCCTCCATACTCCCCTTCTTTTCTGGAATTTTCTTGGGGAAAAAGGAAGCCTCAGACTTGGAAGGAAGGGAATTTTAGCCTTCCCTCATTTTATCTTTGTTATTTGTATCTTCTTTGTCCGCTGCCTTCTCCCTTCAAGGACAGCAGGTATCCTGGGATAACCTGAGGGAGACCTAGTCTAGAGGACACCTTCCTCTTCTGAATGGTAGAGATAAGAAAGGAAACAATAGACCAACAGACCCCATCAATAGGCCAATGTTGACCCTGGGCACTGAGAGAATTGGATCCCACCTGTGACACCTACTAGCTGTGTGATGGTGGGCAAGTCACTTACTTGCTACCTGCCTCAGTTTCCTCATCAGTCCATTAGTAGGCATTTATGAAGTCCTTGCTCTTCTCTAGCCTTTCAGGAAGCTTACAGTCTAGCTAAGGGAAACAACATGTATAGATGTACATTTATAAGACATAGGGAGAGGGACTGGACTTTTGATTTCGTTGGTAGAGGGAATTCCTGTGTAAGGAAACTCCCTTTTCCAACGTAGGTTGGCACCCTCTGTGCGGCTTAGAGTCTTAGACTTAACCAGAGCACTGAGAGGGTGCCCAGGATATGTCGGAGGGAGACTGGAACCCAGATCTTCTTGGCTTCAAGTCCAGCACCCTGTCCGCTGCTTAAATAAGGAGATGGGGGAGGCCCTAGTAACTGGGAAAAATCAGAAAACATCTCCTTTGGAAAGCATCCTTGGAGCTGAGTTTTGAAGGGAGTAATGGATTCTATTGGTAGAGGAGAGGAAGGAGTGCATTCCAGGCATGGGGTACAGCCTGGGCAAAGACACAGAGGTAGGAGATAAGGTGTTGTGAGTGAGAACATTAAGAAAGCCAGTCTGGCCAGACCATGGAGTATGTAAAGTGTAGTAATGTATAATAATGATGGAAAGGTAAGTTGGAGCCGGATTTGGAAGAGATAAGTGCCAAACAGAGGAACCTATATTTGGTCCTAGTAGGGATAGCATAGTTGTTATTGTGGTTGTTTGTCCTTTGTTCTTAAAGAGGACAGGATAGTGGAAAGGAACAGGTGAACGCCAACTGATCAGATTGTATTGCACCCATTTCACAGATGTTTGACATCTTCCTTTCTTCTTCCTTCCTTTCCCTGCAGCACAGAAAGGCAGAGTCGCAAGGCGAGGGATGGGAGTATGCGTCTCTCTTTGGCTGGAAGTTTCACCTGGAATATCGAAAGACAGATGCCTTCCGCCGCCGCCGATGGCGCCGTCGCATGGAGCCCCTGGAGCAGACCGGGGCTGCCGCTGTCTTTGCCCTGGAAGGAGCCCTGGTAGGTGGGCAGAGGACAGCTCCATCCCGCAGGGAGGGAATGTGGACCACCCTTGAGTAGGCGCCCAGAGAAGGGGCAGTTGTCTACCTTTCTTGTTCTTACTCAGTTGTTTTCAGTCCTGTCTTACTCTTCATGACTCCATTTGGGGTTTTCTTGGCAAAGATACTGGATTGGTTTTCCATTCCCTTCTCCAACTCATTTGACAGATGAGGAAACTGAGGCAAACAGGGTCAAGTGAGGTCACACAGCTAGTAAGCGTCTGAGGCCGGATTTGAACTCAGGAAGATGAGTCTTCCCGACTCCAGACTCAGTGCTCTATCTACCATCTAGTCCAACTTAGACACCATCTAGTCGTTTCTAGAGGAGAAAAATGAAGACCAGAGATGGGAATGAAATTATTAATTATTATTAATGACATACACCTGGATAGCACTTTAAGGTCTGTAAAACAACAACCCCATGAGGTGGCTTATGTAATTATTATCATCATTTTACAGATGTGGAAACTGAGTCTCAGGTTAAGTGACTTGTCCCTGTTCACATAGTAGCAAGGATCTGGGATTTGAACTCACAGATTATAGTAGGTCCAGTGCTTTCACTCCTTGGAAAATGAAAATAGATGTGGGGTTGGCAGGGGCCTTAGAACATCAGAGCTGGGAGGGATCTTAGAATGTGGAACGGCAGACCTGAGAAGGACTTGAGAAGCCTAGAATGTTGGAGAGAGAAGAATCAGAACATGGATTATGAGAGCTGAAAGGCACCTTAGAGGTGACACAAGGAAACTGAGGCTCAGAGGTGACCCGATTTGTGGAAGGTCACACAGGTAATAAGTGGAAGAGATGGGATTTGAAACTTTTTTTTTAATTAAAATTTTTTTAAAGGTTAGATCTCCCAATCTTGCCCAGGCTGGAAGTTCCAGGGCTCAGTGGGTTCCAATCTGATTGCCACAGGAGACTTCAATTACCTAGGAACCTCTCCTCGAACTCTGATTTAAGGAGACAGTGTCTATGTCCATGGAACCCAGTCACAAGTGAGGACAGAGTGAAGAAAGGTGCTTTCAAACCCGAACAGACTAAACTTCCCAGAGGCACGGAATGTGGAATGATCAGTAAAATGGGTTTTCTGAGACGGGGGTTTTCACCCCAGCTTCTCCACAAGTCTCTTGACCCCTCAAAGCTTCAGCTCTAGAGCAGGGCTGGAGTGCGTTTGATCTCCAAATGTCAGGATGGAAAAATGATTTGAAACATATGAAAGAAGATGCTGAGGAGGGTCAGGGACTGGACTTTGTGGCTTAAGTGTTTTGGACTAAGAATCAATGAACCTGGCTTCAAGTCTTTGCTCTGCTACTGTTTCTTGTGCCCTTGGGCAGTCACATTCTGGCTCTGTGCCTCAGTTTCCTTTTCTGTAATATGAGGTAGTGACGAGATGCACTCCTAGTTCTGACATTCCCTGTTCTAAGGCTCCTCCCAGATCTGACATTCCCTGTTCTAAAGACCCTCCCAGTTCTGACTTTCTGTGAAGTTACGAATTGTCTCTGTTATTTGTTATCCAGAATTATTATGGCTACTCCCCCTCCTCCATCTTTTGATGGGACATTGATTGCTAGTACCGGCCCTCGTCATGGCTCTGAGACTCTGGATGAAACTCGCAGACTAAAGGGAGGCCCATTTTAGTCATTAGACTAGACTTACTCAGGCAAGAACGTTTGTAGTGGGGAGATTTTCAACCAGGTTAAAATTGAAATATTTTCTGGGTAAGCATCAATTAACCCCACATCCTATTCTTCACTCCCACCCACAATTCTCTAAATTTTCTGGATAATTAAGTTTGATTAGTAAACTCTTTGGCTGATGTCCAACCTCTGGCTAATGTAGACAAAGACTGGCTAAAAGATCAGAATTTGAAGCGCACGTATACACACACACACACAATCATTTTTGCATTGGCCCTAAGAAAAGCTAGCGTCCTTCAGTCCTATCACTAAACAAATGTTCTTCAATAAGCTCGTACTCACAGACATGCATCACTCAGTCCATTAGTCAATAAACATTTATTAACCACCGAGTGTGTGCCAAGCCCCGTGCTAAGCGCTGAAGATACCAAGAAGGGCCCTGGTTCCCGTCCTCGAGGAGTTCACGGTCAATTGGAACAGTAAATTGCTTCTGTGCCACTTGAAAGTCTCTGAAGCATGCGGCATACGTTACTTTATTCTCACCACAATCCTGTAAAAAAGTGGGCACTGTAATTATTGCCATTTTGCAGATGAGGAAACTGAGGCTGTGAGAGGGTTAGTGACTTGCCCGGGTCAGGGGACAGACATTGGATCCTAGTTCTAAATCTGGAGGGAATCTCAGAGGCCGTCTGGTCTATCATTTCACAGAGGAGGAAACTGAGACACAATAATGCTTCTTGCTTAGCATCATAGATTTAGAGTTGGAAGGGGCTTGGAAGGGCTATCTGGTCTAACCCTCTCATTTTACAGATGAGGAAACTGAGGCTCAGAAAGGTTAGGTGATGTTGATGTCGATCTCGGAGGGACCTACGAGGCTGTATAGTTCAACCTCCCTAACTTACAGTTGAGGAAACTGAGGCCCAGACAGAGTCAGTGATTTATCCTAGGTCACAGAGGTAGTAAATAGCAGATGGTCTGTGTAAACTCGCATGACTAGAGAGGGCTGCATGGCACTGGGCAAACAGGCCAGTTTGTCTGGGATGTGAAGTGGGTGAAGGATGAGTGGTGTAGAATAAATGGGGAAATTAGGTGTGAATTAGACTATGGAGGTCCTTCAATGCTTGGCTGAGGAATTTATGGCCGTGTCGTTCAATCATTTCAGTCATGTTGGATTCTCTGTGACGCCATTTTGGGTTTTTCTTGGTGAAGACATGGGAGTGGTTTGCTATTTCCTTCTCCAGCTCATTTTACAGAGGAGGAAACTGAGGCAAACAGGACTCAGTGATTTGCCCAGGGTCACACAGCTAGTAAATATCTGAGGTCTGATTTGACCTCAGATCTTCTTGACTCCAGGCCTAGCACCTGAGGATAGCTTGAGGGGGCAGGAAATGTAGAGACCCGAAGCAGAGAGAAGCAATCTATTGGAAAAACTCAGTTGAGAGCTGACAAGGGTCTGAACTCAAGTGGGGGCCGTAGGAGTGCAAAGAAGGGGGTTCTCGATTTGTTCTGGATGATCGCTCACTCTCTGCTCAGTCTGGGGGTGACGCCTGGGATGTTTCTCAGACAAACCACTCACAGGGGTGTGTGTGCAGTCCTTTGTGTACTGGGGGTCGGGGGAGAGCCATCTGACCTATTTCCTTTTTCTGCAGTTGTGGTCCTGGCTCACCCCTGCTGTGTCTCATCCCCGTCTTGTCCCCTAGTGACCGCCATCCCTTACCGGCCACCCCCACTGTCCCTCAGGGGGAGACTGAAGGGGGGCCTTGGCCTCCAGGCCCGTGGTGCCCCGGGCCCTTTGTGTCTGGTTCCCCCTTTCCCCTTCCCCAGCACGTCGTCCTCTCTCGCAGGGCAGGAGCTTTGGGGCCTGGCCCTTCCTGTCCCCCTGTGAAGACAGCTCCTTGGAAGGCAGACCCTGTCTGGTAATGAACACACGCAGCCTCAGCCCTCTCCCTGCTCCCATCCCCACCCTACTGGCTCCTTTCACAGAGCAGGAGGCCTTGGCTCCCAGCCTTGGGCCAACGGTAATTGTCTGCAGTCTCCATCCCGAGCATTATTTTATTTGAGTATTATTCTTTTTCCAGCTAATATCCTGGCGTTCCCAAAGACACCGGGTTTCATAATCTTCCTGGCATTCCCAGAGAACCTGGGAGTGGAACACAAAGCCGCTATTATAGCAAATTGCCTCTCTTCTCCTCCTCCCCTCCAGCACCTCCTCCTCCTACTCCTTTGCCTCCTGCTCCCGTCCAGCTGCCCCTCTGCTTGACATTCAGGGCTCCCTGGGAAAGTCAAAGCAAGTGACTGCATTGGATGAGCTCACGGAATTAGACTGTCTCCCTTGGCTCAGGCTGGCTCCCATGCCCTTGGATTTTTCCAGAGTCCATCCTCTTCCCTTGGCCCGTTTGTCTTGGGAGGGACAGCTCAGAATAGCTTTTTGAGGCACTCCAGGCTTGGGCAAGGAGAGGAGGGGAGGTGCTGGTGGGGAGCCTGTCTTCCCAGGAGCACTTATGGGAAAGCCCGAGCCAGAGTCCTCAGCAACACCCCTGCCTTCCCCTGGGCGTTCTGCCAGCCTAGGAACACAGTCCTGCTGGACTTGATCGAGCTAAGGCAGAGAACCAGTGGCTAAAATCGCCGAGTGAGGAAACCTGGCTCTCTCCTCTCGGCCCTCAGTCATCCCCAAGAAACCCTAGAGTAGATGTCGGAGGGATCCTAGCTCAGGAGCTGAAAGAGACCTCTGAGGCCAAACCCCTCATTCTCCAAGTGAAGTGACTTGTCCAGGGTCACCTGGCTTGTAAGTGGCCCTCCCTGGAGGAGGAGTCTGCTCTGCCTGGAGCAGATGGACCACAGGGAAGCTATGGCCCTTGACTTTGGGGTGGCCTTGGGCTGTTAGTAGGGACAAGCCTTGGCCTCTGGAGCCCCTAGTCTGCTAGGTAATCTAATACGTGTTTTCTGGAACTCAAGTCACGGTGGGAGAAACAGTTGTTGCCCTTAGGAAGTCTTTGGTCTGCTTTGCTCCTTGCCTCTCCCCTCTCCCGTATCTCCCTGCCGAGGTGGCAGCCTCCCAGTGTCCAGCTTGCTGCCCCCTCCCCAACCTCAACTGAGTTGAGGCTACTTGCTCTGGGCAGGAAAATTGATGGACGTGGCTCTAGGTATCGCTATGCCCCAAACTAGCCTTGGGAGACTTTGTCTTGCGTCTGTTAAAAGGACGTTCATGGTCCCTTCCAGGGTAGGGCCCAAGCAAAGTCATACTTGATTGTGTGGGGGCTCTGAGGAGGCACTGAGGACCTGGGCCCAGCATGAAGGCAGAGCCTCGTCCCCAGCTCTGGCTCACTCA